ATATTAAATGTATATTTTTATTTATATAATAATCAATATAAATATATATTTCAATATGTATTTCAAATTTTAATATTTATTCCTTTAATCAAATCGAAAAGTAAGTTAATGTTGATGTGATGATAAAGAAACTTTTTCTTCCAGTTGAAATCATAGTTTTTTCTTTTTATGGAAAATTGTACACCAAAAAGCATACCTGAAATAACCGGTTTTGCCGGGAAAATACATGTGAACAAGGCGTGGCAAAATGGTTGGAGGCTAACAGGAACAGGAATATAGTAGGGGAACTTAACGGAACATGTCGAAAACGACCGAATCTGACATCTATTGATCGTAACAGGTTCTGTACAGTTTCCTACAGATACTCAAATAATTCGAATTTAAAATTCTATATTTATAGTTCAAATGAAATTTTATATTAATTTATTAAATATATTAAATGATTATAATTATTTAGGTTTTTACATATATCTTACTTATAATATTGTTTGTATCAATTCTTTACAATCATTTATGATTACGTTACTATAAATACTATAAATCAAAATAAAAGATATATCAAAATAAAAGATTATATTTATAAATCATCTTTTTATGTAGTTATATGTTATTTTAAAAAAATAGGTATTGTCACATCAGAAGTTCACTCTTGACTATTTTTGTTGTCTTGTTTACGAATAAAACTCAAGCAAACCGTTGAATAGTTAAATATAAGTTGACATTCTCATTCCACGGAATACTTGACTATTGATTTTATCCCTACCATGGTCTCTTCGTCCTTTGGTTAATAAGTATGCGCTGTAGCTGTGATAGTATGCGCAGAAATGTAATCGTCTTTATGGAGAAGACGAGTTCACCACAATATAGTAGTAGTCTAACTTGATGCAAGGAGAAAGGGGATACTTGGATACGTTGACCCAACATCCCTGACTAGTCCTCCCTCTCCAACATCTCCTCCCACAAATCTGGTTTCATTGCGAGTTGCGCACAACTTTCTAAGCTCGAACCTTCTCTGACGACGTTTGTTCAAGTTATGCTCATTGCGTGCAGAGTAGGGATAGAAAAAGATAAAGATTTCAATAAAGGTTCTGATTAATAAGATTTTATGAGCTTGTTCAAGATTATTAATTGAACCTATTATACAAAAATAATATAGTTCTTTATACGATTAAATAATTTAAAATATTTGTTTTTATATCAAGAAATATTATAAAAAAACAAAAATAGAAATAAACATAATTAAATCAATATAAATAAAATGTTTATGTAAATATAAATATTCAATTATAAATATGCATTTATATATATATATATAAATATAAATATAAATATAAATATGCATTTATATATATATATAAATAAAATTTTTTATTCTAAGATTTATTATTATATTCTATTATTCTCTTATAAGATCATGTAACATTTTTGGAATTGACCACACAGGAAGAGAAAAACTTGGCAACATAGGGGATACTTCCATCCAATTCTGTAATTCCGTCATGTATATACATATCTTTCAAGAATTATTTTCTTTATTGACTTCACTAACGTAAAATTGTTATTATCTTTTTTATTTTTAAAATAAAATAATAAATTTAAATATATATTATATAACAAGTATATAAATTATATTATATGCATATAAATTCTACTTTTTTTAAAGTTTATTTTAATATTCACAATAATAAACATAAAATTAAAATATTAAATATAAAAAATATAATAATAATATATTTTAATAAGAGTTTTCTTTAATAATATTTGAAAATATTTATTTTTTTTTTTATATTACTATTCTAATAGAATTCTTTTATTTCATCATTGATTATAATTAATCAAAAGTAATTTAATGTCTTTCCCTTCTCTTTTTCTCTATTTACTGATTTTCTTATACAGGTAATTTGCAATTTGACCTCGTTTGTTGACCTCACTGGTTGCTAGGCACCAGTTATATTGTCAAAGAGAGGGAGTTAAATTTTAGCGATGTTGCCAAATGGTTTCATATCAAAAATACTATATAATTAAACTCTAATTTGATGAATTTTTTTATATTAAAAAAAACAAATTTTTAATAATTAATTAAAAAATTATTTATCTAATTTTATCGTAATTATTGATATTAAGTTCATATATAAATAATTAATATTTTTAATATTTAATATGTAATCCGAAATTTATTGTGATATAATTGTGAATTATATTTTTTATTAAATAAAAATATTAATAGAGTATCAATATTTAATATGTAAATAATTATTATTACTTTTTATAAATATTAATAAATATATAAATATTAGAAATTTATATTATCATTCTTTATATTTTTAAATATACTCTTTAATATAATATTAATTATTGTTAATCAAATGTGTATTATAAATTGTTGTAATCAGTGCCGCCAACGAAAAGAAAAATTGTACAGTGTTATCATGTTTTTCATTAAACACAAAACAATATATTTTAATTAAAAAGCATATATTGATTATTTGTTTATATATTTAGGTTAACTGATTTTCATCAATGAAAAGTATTCAATAATAAATTTTCAATTTAAACATATAATTTTTAATTAATTGTATGTTGATTGCATTTTAATTTAATATTTTAAATTATATTTTTAAAAATAATAATAAAGATTTTTTTTAAGATTTTCATTTCAATAACTAATATTATGTGAACAAAAACTGTCATTAATAATTTCAAACAAGAGGTTAAGTTATTTATTTTATTAATAATAATTTTTATAATAATTTTTCATTATAAATATTATGTAATATATTTTCTTTTTAAAATATCATCAATATTTCATCAATATATATTTCATCAATATATTTTCAATATAAATAAATGATTATTTTAATATGAAGTATACAGATTTTTTCCAAATACATTTCATAAATGATGAATGTATATAGGAATTAATTCTTGTCTGTGTTTACAAATTATACAATAATTAAGTTGAAATATTTAAATATCTTATATATTTATATATACCATAATAATTATAAATATAAAATAGAATAATTCATAATCATGTTTAGTACTTTACGAAATAAATTTCAAACTGTTCAAGAAGGTATATCAGCTAGGTAAATTTTATACAAATAAAAAAATATGCTAAAAGATAATTTAAATATTTTACAATTATATTTTGTATTAATTTTATTTTAGTATCAGAGGATTGACTGTTATTGAAAATCCAAAACAAAAAAAAAATAATAATATCAGAAATGTTAATTACAATGCAGGAGCTGATATTTTGCATAGATTTCAATTACAATGGAATGAACTACATGAGCTTGCAGAAGAAAATGCAGGGAAAGCTCAAGAAGCTGATAAACTTATTGAAACTATCTATGAGAAACTTGAACATGAGTGGAAAAGTCTTACTTGTTTAAATAGTACTTTAGCTTACATTCCAAAAATTAATAATGCAATACAGGATCTTATGGATCAAATAGGTACTATTATTTAAAATGTCTTTTTAAATAATAATTTTTTAATTTAAATATATTATAAATATGAAAAATTAATTGTAAATGCTTATTAAATATTATTAAATATTATTAATATTATTAAATATTATCAAAGGAACATTACAAGAAATGTTTGAAGAAGTGGAAGGTGCAATATATCGTTTAGAAGATTTAAATGAAATGTTAGATTTACAAAGTAGACAATTAGATCATAGATTTCAATTAGCCTTATATAAAGAAAAAAAGCTTGCAGAATTAAATGTTATTAAAGGTATACATATAATATTTGAAATATATTATGTAATTATAATATAAAAATATTAAAAATACATATTGATTTTAGCAAAATTGGCCAATGAACATATTGAAAGAGTATCAAAATATGAGCTTAAACAACAGAAAATGATGAAAGAAAGACGAGAAACATTTGATGAAGTTTTTAAAGAAGAACTTAAAGAATATAAAGCAACAGGATCTATATCAAGTATGTCATGATATATATTTTAAAAATAAAAAATTAATGCTTTTAATTTCTTATATTTTATTCCAAACAAATATTATTTTCATATAATTTTCTTCAATAATAAATTAAATTATTAAATTAATTTTTAATAAAACTAATTTAATTAATATATTTAATATAATTTAATATAACTAATTTAAAATACAATAAAATTGATTTTTATTTTAGAATTACCAGTAACACAACAAGGTCCATCATTGGATGACATAGTTTTGGATGTAGATTCAACAATATTTAATGAATTTTTAAAAAATTAAGAATGTAATATATGTGCATGTGCACATGTATGTATGTATGTATGTGTTTAAAAGAATAAATATAGAAATATTTGAGGAATAATTATAAATTATATAATATATAATTATATAAAATTCTGTATGAATTATGTAAAAATAAATAATAACTTTTAGAAATATTTTTTTATTTATGATTAAATAATATAAAATATATAATATATATTTAACAATATATAATAAT